GTTGACTTAAGCAGTGGGGCTCGGGAGGGAAACTGGCAGGGTACCGGGCTGGACGGACCAGCGTGGGCGTCAGGAGAGGGGTCTGGGCCTAGGCCGTGAGTTGCAGGGTCAGGGAGGGTGGGCAAGTGACAGCACCTGCCGTTATGACACATAAAGGGGGGGGCCTGGGTGCATTGGTGACGAAGCAAGTCCGTCAGGGGGTGGGGTTGGGCTTCCGGGGGGCAGGCAGAGTGAATGTGGAGAACTTATACGTCCCACAGTAATCCTATTGCAAGAATGAGGCTGAGTGTTAAATAATCTAAAAATCTAATTTAATAGTTTAATAATCATCAGCTTGGAAGGGTTTGGTGAAAGCCAAGGAGCGGTTGAGACCTCCTCAGGAGAGCGCAGAGGACCGGAGAGCCAGGGTCAGGGGCTGTGCCTCTGGGAAGGGAGAAGAGGGACGGCCGGGCATGACGAGGTCAGCACCAGGGATGGCCGGAAGCTAACACGGAGCTTAGAGAGTTTCGTGCAGAACGTGTCCATGATATGAGACTCTGCCCAGGGCACTGAAGCCTGGGACAAGGTCACTGTCTGGCAGTGACATCAGCAGAGACCTCGGGGAGCAGTTTTTAGAGTTCCGGCGGCCGGAATGTACTAGCATGTGAGAGACACTGGAGATAAGACCAGAGACAGGTCAAGGACATGCAGCCAGTGGCCTGCAGGGCCCAGGGGGTGCGTCCTGACGTCCCCTCCCCACCCCGCCAGGTCCCCACCTCCCGGGAGTGCGTGGGCTTCGGGGCCGTGCAGGAGGTGGCCGTGGGGCTCGTCCAGCCGGCCAGCGCGGCCCTGTATGATTACTACAACCCCGGTGAGCCCTTGGGGGGCACTTGGCAGGTTTGGAGTAGGTGTCCCCATATGGGACATCAGGAAGTGGGGCAGTGCCGGGTGGCAGGGATGTCCTGTGGCTCCTTGGGACGGGGGAGGCAGTGTTGTGGGGGAGGGCGTGTGCTCTAACTGCCCTCTCTCCTCCAGAGCGCAAATGTTCTGTGTTTTATGGGGCCCCCACTAAGAGCAAACTCTTGTCCACGTTGTGCTCTGCTGACGTCTGCCAGTGTGCTGAGGGTGAGAGCCGGGGCCGGGGCGGGAAGCCGGTGAGGCTGGGGCCTACGCCAGCTCATCCGTGTTGCTCCTCCCCCCACCCCCCCCGGCAGGGAAGTGCCCTCGGCAGCGCCGTGCCCTGGAGCGGGGTCTGCAGGACGAGGGGGGCTACAGGATGAAGTTCGCCTGCTACTACCCCCGTGTGCAGTACGGTCAGTGCCCCCCACCCCCCGCCCCGGCTCTGCACTTGGGCTGCGCCTTGTGACCGCAGGTGGAACAAACCCATGCTCCCTTCTCTTAAACGCCCTCATAGGCTTCCAGGTGAAGGTCCTTCGAGAAGATGGCAGAGCTGCCTTCCGTCTCTTCGAGACCAGAATCACCCAAGTCCTGCACTTCAGTATGAAGGGAACGGATGGGCCAGTGGGGCTGGGGGACGGAGGGGGCCGAGGTCGGGGTTTGCAGCCCGGGTGCCCAGGATAGCGGACATTCGGAGGCTGAGCTCCAAGCCCCTCAGCCTCTTGGAAGCTCTGGGCTTGGCCATAAACCGAAAAGCAGTCATACGTCTCTGTGAGGAGCAGTGAGGGCTCGATGAGAGGCTCCGGGCCCAGCCCCCAGCCCCCACTGGCCCTGTACCTTCCATTCGCCTCTGACGACTCCTGTGCACCTTATCCTCTCAGCCAAGGACACCAAGGCCACTGTCCGTCAGACCCGAAACTTCCTGGTTCGAGCCTCTTGCCGCCTTCGCTTGGAACCTGGGAAAGAATACTTGATCATGGGTCTGGATGGAGCTACCTTTGACCTCAAGGGAGAGTGAGTTCTCTGGGCCCCTCTGTCGCTTGCTCTCCTCCCACCTCACGAGGGAACGGATCCCCAGCATGCAGACCCTGGCCAGCCAGAAACTGGGTGCCCATCCTCCCCAGCCCTGCTGACTGCCCTTTTGCCTCCGCAGCCCCCAGTACCTGCTGGACTCGAATACCTGGGTAGAGGAGATGCCCTCTGAACGCCTGTGCCAGAGCACCCGCCATCGGGCAGCCTGTGCGCAGCTCAGCGACTTCCTCCAGGAGTACAGCACTCAGGGGTGCCAGGTGTAAGGCCGCGCCACCCCCTCCCCCCCGCCCGGGGATGCCTGGATGGTCACTGTGCCCGGCTCCCCGGACATGGCCCGGGCAGGCCCAGGGACTCAATAAAGGCCTTTGGCAGCAGAGCGTCAGTGTGTGTCTCCAGGATTGAGAGCAATGCCCCACGCCCCCCCCCCCCCCGCCAGCTTCTGAGGCCAGGGTTTGCGTTATCTTGGGCTCCCAGAGCCTGGGTGACCCTTGGGGGTGTCACTCCCAGACGATTCCCTGGGAGCTCAGTCCATTCTAGAAGCGCCCTGAGCGAACCTGTGACCCCGCAGCCTGCACCCCAAGGCTCCGGAGCCACAGCAAGGCCTCCCTCCACAGCCCCGCTGTTGCCAGTCCCTGCGGCCTCGGGCGTGGCTCGAGCTGAGCCTAATGCCGCCACCCTTTCGGCCACGCGTTTCCCGCTCTGCCCTTGTGCGGCTGGGTGTTCTGGGGTCTCCGGCCTGTAACTGACGTCTGGTTTCTTGAAAGCAGCCGGTTGCCTCTCGATCTCCTTACCAGTGGTTAGGGAACTTTCCCCAAGTTGCGCCATGACTTCAGGGTGGGGTTTGATACACCGAGGAGGCCGCTGTTCTACTGGGCCCACCCTCCCCACCTGCCTGCCTCGCTCTCGCCCGTTCGGTGGCCCCCGCTGGGTCTCCAGGGCTGACTAGAAATCCAGCTAGAGAAGTTGGCCGAGATCAGTGTTGACGGGAAGCGGAGTCCGTGCACCAGCCTGCCGGCCGATCGGACAGCCACAGTCCGTGGGGCTCTCCCTCCATGCTATGCCCTGTGCCAGGTCCCTGGCCCTGAAACATGTGCTGTTCGGGAGCTGCCTGGTCCTGTGGGGCACCTGACCGAATCTGGGGGCAGGGAGAAGGGGAGGGCTTCCCGGAGGAGGTGGCCTCTGACTTGGGTTCTGAAAGCTGAGGCGTCACGCATAGAGAGGGGGTAGCTGAGGGCCTGTGAGGCAGACGGGCGGAGAATATGGAAGGCTCAGAGGCCAGGGGGCAGGACGGGGCCCATCTGGGGGCACTGCATGTGATTCCACCATGTCCGAGATTTGGATTTGGAGGTGGGGTGGGAGAGCTGGGGCTGGCGGCGTAATCAGGTCAGTTGAGGAAGGTTTGTTCACAATCAGGCCAGCTTTCCCGGTCACTCTTCTTTCCAGTGGAGCCCCCTCCCCTGCCTTGCAACTCAGAGAGGTTCCGTGTTCCTGAGGCTTCCCGGGGCCATTGTCTCCCTGGCCCTGCGGTGACCCGTCACATCTCTGTCCCCGAAGCTGGCCAGCATGGGGTGGCCAAGAGCTATTTGTGAGAGCCAGGCACTCAGCTGCAGTCGTGGCAGGACACGGCCTGGGTCTGGGAGGTCAACTGTGAGGCAGGGGTTTAGCGGTGGCTGCCTAACCCTCGAAATGCCACCCCTGCTCTCTCCCTCCCAGCCCTGGGCATGGGTCCAGGCCGAGCCCGAGCCTCTCCCACCAGGACCCCCAGCAGTTACTTCCTCAAGCTGGTGGGTGGCACAGCCAGCATCTCGACTCAGGGCCTCCAGCCACATAGCCTGTGCACTCTGGGTAAAGCTCAGGGGGCGGGGGGGGAAGGTCTACCCATTCCTGGGTGCCGGGATCAGTTTACAGAGCCAGGGATGGGGAGTTGGGGGATGATGTGAGTTTTAGGTCACCTCCGATCCCTTTCTCCCACCCCCCAGGTAGCCCAGATCTCTCACTGAGCACTGTCACCCCTTTGGCACGATCTCTCCTAAACCTTTGAGCCTCTCAGCTGCCTCCTCACCCATGAAAGTGGTTCCTGATTGCCCTACTTGGTCCAGTGGGACCCCACCCCTTATGGCAACAGCTCGCAGGATAGGGCTGGACCTCCTGATCCCACTGTGGCTCTAGGGCTCCTTCCTGGGGACTTTGGCATCGATGGGGGCATGTTCAGTCCTGCCGGGAACCCTCTCGACCTGGGGCTGGGCCTGAAACCTGTGGACTCTGACCTTGGAGGCAGTCCCATCCCGCCTGCAGCTGGGAACAGAAACAGCAGGGGCAGAGGGAGAGGGGAGAGTTCGGCAGACGCGGAGGAGGGAGGAGCCAAGAGTGAGGAGTTGGCTCCTCTCTGCAGCTTTGGCCTCCCCCGCCCCCCGCCCCCGTCCCTGGCTTCCAAGGCCACCGAGGCCCCCTCTCCTGCTCTCTTCAGTTCTCTGAGATGCCCCTGTATTTGTACAGTAATTCCTCTTTTTGGCTCAAGCCAGCTCGAGTTGGTCACTTTCCTTGCAACCAAAGAGTATATGGAGTACTAGTAAAAGCTCCAAACTGGGGGGCCATATCGCTCTTCATCTTCAACTTTTGAGATGGGAATGGGGCACGGTTAATAGTTACACTGGGCCTACAGGTATAAACTGGGGTGCTCCAGGCAGACCAGGCCATACGGTCACCCCGTCTGTAAGTTAAAAGAAAAACACGCAGGCCACTTTCATCCCCTTTCACCCTCAGGCAATCCTGGGGGGCTGGTGAGGCAGGGCAGGCCGTTGTCTCCGAGATAAAGCAGGAAGCTCGTCCAAGGTGGGGTGGCGGTGGGAGAGGGCTCAGGCCCGAGGGCGGCCACGTTCTCCCGCCTGGCTGACGTGAGGCCAAGAAACCGATCCCGGCTGTGGGAGAAAGGTCACGGCCGCATCCCCCTTCCTTTCTTCTTGATGGATGAAAGGCCGGTTCTTTGACATGTGGACTCCACAAGGCCAGGGGGGACTGGTGCCCTTCCAGGATACGTGGGCGGGGCAGTGGGCAGGGAGCCGAGAGAAGGAGTCAGAGCAGCAAGATGGGTGCAGGGGCCGCCGACACTATAAGTGGCCCAGCCAGGGCCTTGCCCGGGGCTCTGGCCATGCTCCTCCTCGGGCTGCTGCTGCTGACCGTGCTGGCTGGCGCCCGCCTGCTGTGGAACAAGTGGAAGCTCCGCAGCCTCCACCTCCCGCCTCTTGTGCCCGGCTTCCTGCACCTGCTGCGGCCCAACCTTCCCCTCTACCTGCTGGGTCTGACCCAGAAACTGGGGCCCGTCTACAGGCTCCGCCTGGGGCTGCAAGGTGTGTCTGCCCTGGCCACCACCCCCCGGCCCCGCCAAGGAGGGGAGGCGGGGTCCCCTCCCTGCTGACGCCCCACTTTGGCCCTCCCCCAGATGTGGTGGTGCTGAACTCCAAGAGGACCATCGAGGAAGCCATGATCAGGAAATGGGTGGACTTTGCCGGCAGACCCCAGACAGCGTCCTGTAAGGGTCCGGGGCGGTTCTCGAGGGAAGAAATGGGCTGGCGGAGGCAGGGGAGGTCAGGCCCATGGCTTCCTTGGTCAGCTCGACCCCTCTCCTACTCGCAGATAAGCTGGTGTCTCAGCACTACCAGGACCTCTCCCTTGGGGACTACTCCCTGCTCTGGAAGGCTCACAAGAAACTCACCCGCTCAGCTCTGCTGCTGGGCCTCCTTGACTCCACGGAGGGGCTGGTGGAGCAGCTGACCCAGGAGTTCTGTGAGGTGAGGGTGCACTCCCACAGTCGCCCGCCCCCGCCGCTTCCCCTGTCCTGGCAGCGCGCCGGCCCGGCCCGGCCCAGCCGTTTAGTCCCAGCCCCTTCTCTGCAGCGCATGAGAGCCCAGGCCGGCACCCCTGTGGCCATCCAGAAGGAGTTCTCTTTCCTCACCTGCACCATCATCTGTCACCTCACCTTTGGAGACCAGGTCAAGGTTCCCTGCCCTCCATATGCTGGGGCCCTTCCTTAGCCCCTCCCTGACTCTCTCTGGTGCTCAACTGAAACGATTCCCTCTTTTTTGCGGGGGGGCAGGAGGACACCTTAGTACATGCCTTTCATGACTGTGTCCAGGACTTGATGAAAACCTGGGAGCATTGGTCCATCCAAATTTTGGACATCGTTCCCTTTCTCAGGGTGAGGAGGTGGAGCCCAGACTCGCTGGGTCCTGGGAGAGAGAGGGGCTGGGGGGGACAGGTTTCCTTGCCTGTGGCTACACCGTCTTGCTCCCTGCCCCAGTTCTTCCCCAACCCAGGCCTCCGCAGGCTGAAGCAGGCCTTGGAGAACAGGGACCACATGGTAGAGAAGCAGCTGAGGCAGCACAAGGTGGGAAGGCTGTGTGTCCCCAGCGCCCCCGTAGCCCACAGCCTGGGATCCTACTGCCCCAGAGCTGGGCAGGTTCTTCAGCATCCCACCGGTCCGGGACCTGTGGCTCCCCTGAGAGCCTTCTCGCCAAGCCAGGTGCTGAGGCTGGCCCCTCCTCCCCTCCACAGGAGAGCATGGTGGCAGGCCAGTGGAGGGACATGACTGACTATATGCTCCAAAGAGTGGGGAAGCCAAGAGCAGGGGAGGGCCATGGACAGCTCCTTGAAGGACACGTGCATATGTCTGTGGTGGACCTGTTCATTGGTGGCACTGAGACCACGGCGACCACCCTCTCCTGGGCCGTGGCCTTCTTGCTTCACCACCCTGAGGTGCACCCTGGGGGTGGCCTGGCTGGGGCCCCGGGACCCCAGCTCACTGCCCTCCCTCCCCCCACAGCGTGCGAGGGCTGTGTTCACCCCGAGGCTGGCTTCTCCTGATCGGCTCAGACGCTTGGGCGGGGAGGGGGTTTGCTCCAGGGGGCGGTTCAGGGTCCCGGCCCCAGACACCAGGCTTGCTCCCATTTCCCAGATTCAGCAGCGACTGCAGGAAGAGCTGGATCGTGAGCTGGGCCCTGGAGCGTCAGGCTCCCGAGTCCCATACAGAGACCCCACACGGCTGCCCTTGCTCACGGCCACCATTGCGGAGGTGCTGCGCCTGCGGCCCGTAGTGCCCCTGGCCTTGCCGCACCGTGCCACGCGGCCTAGCAGGTGGCTCCCGAGGGCGGGGGATGAATGGGGCCAAACTGGGTGGGGGGTGGGGGGGAGGGGAGGGATCCTGGAGGCCTCTGACTCCACCCTCCCCTCAGCATCTTGGGCTACGACATCCCCGAGGGCACGGTTGTCATCCCCAACCTGCAAGGCGCCCACTTAGACGAGACGGTCTGGGAGCGGCCACACGAGTTCCGGCCGGGTGCGTGGCGGGGAGGGCGCCCGCGGCGTGGGGGCGCCAGAGGCCGGTCCCCGCGGCTACAGAACCCCGGGTTCTGTCCTTGTGCCCACAGATCGCTTCCTGGCCCCCGGCGCCCGCCCCAGAGTGCTGGCCTTCGGCTGCGGGGCCCGCGTGTGCCTGGGGGAGCCACTGGCGCGCCTGGAGCTGCGCGTGGTGCTGGCGCAGCTGCTGCGGGCCTTCACGCTGCTGCCGCCCGCCGGCGCCCTGCCCTCCCTGCAGCCCCGGCCCCGCGGCGGCGTCAACCTCACCGTGCGGCCTTTCCAGGTGCGGCTGCAGCCCCGGGGCGCAGGGGCCCGGGCGCTGGGCCAGCACCCGTGACGGGGCGGGATGCACGCCGGCCGCACGCATGCCTCAGTTTCCCCTTTTATTACTCCCCGTACAAACCCCTGCCCTCCCCCCCTGTAAACATGGTGCTGTGAGATCGCAGATGGAGAAGGCTCCCTCCGGTGGCTGGACGGTGACGGTGGCCCCGGGCTCTTCTCTGAGCGCGACCCCTCAGTGCTCGGCAGTCATTCTGGGGCGCCCGAGAGGCGAGCGGCGGTCAGCCTCCCTGGGCCGCTGGGGGCCGGTAGCTTCTTGGCCTCAGCTTCATTTCCGTGAAGGGCACAGAGAACTCGAAGCCCTTCCAGTAGTACCAGCTCACCCCCTGGGAGAGGAGATGTCAAGACAGAGTCAAAGCCGCACATCCCATCTGCTCCTACCCCTGCCCCTCTGGGGAGATGGTTCCCAGAAATCAACGCCTCTCCCGCCCCCCACTGACTTCATGATCCTCAACTGCCAAGGCCTGAGGCCTTCATCTGAGCTGGCCCTTTACGTCCAATAAATCGTGCTCATGTCTCCCTCAAGATAACTTGGTGAGATTGGCATTATTGTCCCATTTCACAGATGAGGGTCCTGAGGCACCAAGCGGCTGGGGAGCTTGTCCTGTCACACCCCAGCAGGGTGAACCCCCGCCCCCACACCGCCCAGCTCGGTGCTGCCTCCCAAGCCCCTCACCTGGTGGTCCACTGTGCTCCCGTAGAGCCCATTGAGGTTGGCGTAGTGGCAGTTCTTGTACCACCAGGCCCCGTGGTACGACACAGCGCAGGAGATGAGCAGGTTGTTGGGGTCTCGATCCCGGGCAGAAAAGACACTGCCACTGTGGTAGGTCATGGAGTCGCCTGGACAGGTGTGAGAGGAGCAGTGAAGGCCTCCCCGCCCCCTGCCCCACCTCCGCAGCCGCCCCCAGGTCCGCCCCTAACCTGCCGTGCCATGGTAGCCATCCAAATGAAGGCGGTAGTAGTCGGCCTCCGAGTCGACCCGGAAGGAGTCGTACTGTGCGAACACGGCCTCGTCCCCCGCCCGCAGGTCCACGCGCATGGAGTAGTCGCCCGCGTCTGTCAGGCTGTGCAGGGCCTCGTTGCCTGGGGGCAGGGGGCGTGCTCTCCTCAGGGTCCTGGTGTCCACAGGGTCTCCATCCCTTCCCTGGCCCCCGGCCCTGTGAGGCACTCACCCAGCCAGAACTCCCCGGAGATGTTGCCAAAGCCGTGGGCGTAGTCCTCCCAGTCCCTCCAGAAGTCCGTTTGTCCGTCCATGCGACGCTGGAACACCTGGGAAGCGGGCGGAGGCACCGTCGGCCTATGGCTCCTGGCACAGCAGCCCCTGCCCCGGGCAGACCCCTGGGCTTCCGGGTGCCACCCACCAGCCAGCCGCCCCCATCGGTCTCCATGTCACAAAACACGTCCAGGGGACGCTCGCGGTTGCCATTGAGGAAGATGGTGGTGGCCCTTGAGGTGCGGGCTCCGTTCTGCACCTCCTCCCCACAGTCCCGAGGGAAGGGGATCGGAAGTCCACCTGGGGGAGGATGAGAACAAGGGGCCGGTCCTTTTCCCAAACCCTAGACCCCTGCTGCCCGCTCAGCCGCCGACCAAATTTGTCCCAGTGCCCAAATACCAGTGGTGAAGGAGGTGGACACAGGCGGCGTGAGGCTCTCGCCCCACATAGCTCGGAGCCACACGCCATAGGGGGTGGAGGGGAAGAGGCCCAGGAGCTGGTGAGAGGTGATCCCTCCTGGGAGCAGGAGCTCCTGTGGACAGACGACGAGCAGGTCAGGGGATGGGGAGCCCCGCTGTGAGAGGCAGAGGAGGGGGCAGCACCTCCTGGAATGGGACCTGGGAGGGGAGCTGGCCAGTGAGGGAGGGATGGGGGCACCTGGGTCTGTTCACCAGGGGTGTTGAAACTGAGCAGGTAGCTGGTTGGAGGGACTGGGGGCTCAGTCCAAGTGAGTAGGGCCGTGCGGGGGGTCACTTCCTTGGCCTCCAGGTCCTGGGGGGCCTCCAACCCTGGGAGGGGAAGGTGGGAAGAGAAGATGGAGACAAGGCCCATCCTAGCTCCCTTGAACCTCCCCTCCCCCTGTCGTGCACACCTCCCAGGCTGCACCTGTGGTGAAGCTGATGCTGGCTGGGGACGTGAGGTTGGGGCCCCGAAGACCACGCACGGTCGCTGTGTAGTTGGTGTGGAGCTCCAGGCCACTTAGAGGGTACTCCACAGCACTGCCCGGGGCTGAGGCCTGTAGTGAGGGGGCTGGGAGCGGGGTGAGCATCAGCATCTGCCCCCCTTCACCTTGCCGGAGCCCCTCCCCACCCCAAGTCCCCGCCAGAGGCCTCAGCCCCGCTCACCCCCTGAGGCTGTGACACGGACGTTATACTTGTCCACAGGGGCCTGGGGGGGCTTCCAGTGCAGCAGAGCCGATCCCTCCGTCAAGTTCAGCGCTCGAAGCTGGGTGGGGCCGTCAGGAACTGGGAGAAGGGGGTGGCTCAGAGCTGTCCCCTGCCCCCCTCTTCAGCCCTCACCTTCCCAGGCTCTGCTGGCCTCTGGTCCACAGTCCGAGCCTCTCACACCTGCCCCCTCCCCATTCGTTCCCCCCCCCACCTCCTGCCTGGGGCCTAGTCCACCTCACCTGTGGTGAGGGAGCCGGTGAGAGGCTCACTCTCCTCAAAGCCACGGACAGAGACCACGGTCACCTCATAGTGAGAGCCCGGGATCAGCCCTTTGAGTTTCTGGGTCTGCGCGCGGCCGTCCACCTGCACACTCTGCGGCTCGCCTGAAAACACAGTGGGCTCGGGAGTTTGCCCCTGGAAGCAAGCAGGGTGAGCAGAGCACAGGGAGCAGGAGAGGTGAGGGCAAACGAGGACGTGGGCAAAAGGGTGAAAGAGTGTCACCTCCATCTGCCAGCTGGTAGGAAACTTTGAAACTGTCCACTCTGGATGCTGGAGGCATCCAGCTGACCTGGGCCGAGGTTTCCCCGATTTCGCTGAACTGAAGGTCACGGGGGCTTTCCAGAACTGCGGGGAGGGGTGTGCCGAGGAACGTGGGTGAGGGCACGGGGCAGGGAGGCTCCCACCCCAGGATCCCCACCCCTGCCTCCTCCTGGGCCCCAGTGACTCTAGCCCTGCTCACCACCCCTTTCCTCTAGACCCCGGAGAGGAAGTCTCTGTAGATGCCTGCCAGCCCTCCACCACTCACCAAGCTTCCCTCTGGCTGAGGCACTAGGTCCCGCCCTACAAAGTACAGAGACCCCTCACTTTGGGGCAGCACACGAAGGTGCCCACTGTGGGGTCTTACCTGGGCTGAGGGTGCGGGCCGTGCCCTCGATGCTGTCGGCCTTATGGGGCCCACGCAGCCCATACAATGTCAGGCTGTACAGGGTCCCCGGCTGCAGGTCCCGGAGCACGGCAGAGCGCCGCGACCCCGGCACCGTCAGCTCCTGCTGCTGCAGGGGACGCGAGTGCGGCTCCAGGGTGCTTGGGGATGGGACCCCGAAGCGGAGCACGAAGGAGTCAAAGGCCTCCGACGGGGCCTCCCAGTTGAGCCGCAGGGAACTGGTGGTCACATCGGTCACTGACAGCTGGGACAGGCGGGGTCCTGGCTCCCCTGGGGTCAGGCCGGCAGGAGCAGGCCCTGCACGGAGCGGGTGGGAGACAGAAGCACACCACCTCCGTGGCCTGGGGCAGGGCTCTGGCACCGCCCCACCCCGGCCCTGAGTTTCTCATCTGTGAAATGGAGCTAATGAGGGGCGGGCCCTCACAGGTAGGACCCATAGTGAGCAGGTGTGCGTAGAGCTGAAGGCTGGGGGGCACCCTTCCTCCTTCTGGGGCCCTCCTCATGTTCTTTCTCTACAGTCACCACGTCCGGTCACCCCTGTTAGCCCTGTCGGGCCCAGTCCAGAGGTGGGTGAGGCCTAGATAGAGGGCCCTGGCCTGCCGGTACCTGTGGTGCCTTTGGCTGAGACAGGCCCCAGGCGCTTCCCTGTGTGGAGGCCGTAGAGGAAGAACTTGTAGGCGGTGCCGGGCTCCAGGCCTGACACTTGCACCTTGTTCTGGTTGCCGCCCACGAGCAAGGCCTGGGGCTGCCCATCTGTGTCCTGATACTGGACCACGAAGGACTCAAAGGGGCCCTGGGCCACACTCCATGAGAGGCGCAGGGAGCCTGGGGTTATGTCGCTCACTGCCAGTGTCCTTAGCTGGGGCCCTGAGGGGGGCGCGGGGGCCTCTGTGGCTGGGCGCCAGGGGGCTGCGTGGGAGAAGCCCAGGGGAGAAGCTGAGCAGTGGGGGGGACTGAGGCTCTCCTGGCACCTTCCTTCCTGTGAGTCTGCCATTTTCCTGCCCTGGCACTGAGTCCTGCCACCTCTGGGCCCCTCGGAGCGCCAGCACTGTGGCCGCATCACCCCTCTGTGGGATGGCTTGCTGGATCTGTCCCACACTCGCTTCCCTTTCTCCACCTCCAGGGCCTCTCGTGCCTCACCTCGCGGTGCTGGTCACTCCCTGGCGGGGGCGGTGTCCACACCTCCCGGGGAGGAGGCCACTCCTTCAGCGCCCCTTGCCTATGTCCTTCTCCAGTTATTTTCCATTTGAGAGAAAAGGCTCCTGACTCATCCACAGGAGGGGGTTTGCCCCCATCTGGTAAGAGCCGCCTCAGGAGAGGGACAGGGTGGGGGTTGGGAGGCCGGGGCCGCTGTCAGGGCCTTGCCCTGCGCCTGCCTCCACGGATTCCTCGGTTACCCCAAAGCCGGCTGCTTCGCACTTTCCTTCCTTCCCGAGCCCTGGGCAGGCCTCCTTATGCCCCAGGCCCACTCCTGTTGGTCCCTTCAGGCTCCTGCTCACCTGTCACTCCCAGGACAGAGATGGGGCCCAGGCGCTGTCCTCCGCGGATCCCATATAGCAGAAACTTGTATTTCCTGCCAGGCTCCAGGCCCTCTATGGTGACTGCCCGCTGGTCTTTGGCCACAGGCACTGCCCGGGGCTGCCCAGCTGGGTCCCTGTACTGGACCACAAAGGAATCAAAGAGGCCCTGGGCCACCGTCCATGAGAGGCGCAGGGAGTCTGGGGTCTCATCTGTCACTGTCAGCTCCCCAAGGCGGGGTGGGTGCTCCAGGGGAGCTGTGGAGAGAGCAGGAGGAGAAACTTAGTCAAGAGCTACCTCTACCACAGCCCTGGCGACTTCTGGGAGGCAGGAGGGTCTAGGAAAGGGTCCCTGCAGTGTGGCTTCAATCTGCCCAAAGGAAGGACAGCGAGCAGCTCTCTCTCTCCTCTGGAGGCCACTGCCCTAAATCCTTCCTGCCCCCACTCCCTCCCTGCTGTGATCAGGGTGCAGTAAATGCATAAAAGATCACTTTGTAAGATAGGGCCCCTGGGGGTGTAAGAAGGGCCTCAGTTTCTCCCTGGCCCCTGACCCCCTGAGCAGGAATGTGGCTGGAGCCCAGAAAGTCTCCCGGAGTGTATCTGGGTTGTCAGGGAGACACCCCTAAACACTAAGAGCTGGGCTGGGCAGCCAGCCAAGCTGATGGGCTCCCAGAGCTTGGCCATGACCTCCCCCTCCCTTGCTATACGCCTGGGCCATCCTTCTACCCACTTCCCCAGTCCTGCACTACCACCCCTGGACCAGGGCAGCAGGGTGGGGCAGCACTGGGAGAATGGAGGGCAGAACGCAGAAGAGACTTGCCTCGGTGGGGATGGGCGCTGGCTGATGGGGTCAGAGAAGCCTGTATCCGCTCCCCATAATGGGGGCTTAGGGAAGAGAATTACGCAGTCTCAGGGTCCCAGGCCCCAACTGACCATGTGCTCCATCCCCATCTGGCCAGGATGACTCATGGTCCCGGGAGTGGGGTATGGGTCAGTGACCCACCTCCACCCTTTCCTCAGGGGGCTGAGTAATGGGCACAATGACACCAGATTTTTCCATAGTCTTTCTGCAGCCAAACCCTTCCATATTTTCCACCTCCTGCCTCAGCTGGGACAGAGGGAAGAGAATGGGAATATTTATGGAGTGCCGATCCGTATTTATTACGCCTACGCAGGTACGGAAACTGCGGTTCAAGGGAAGGAAGTGGCTTGTCTGTGGCCACACCACCGGCAATCGGAATTTGAACACAGGTCTGCTTGGCTCCAAAGACTGAATTCTTTTTATGACATCAAGCAGTCAGTGAATGAAGGGAATAATGCATGTAACATACTTAGAATAGTGCCTGGCATGTGACTGAGACTCAGTAAATGTTTGCTTTTGCTGCTGCAAAGGCTGAAGGCTGGAGAATAAAGGCTAAAGGCATGGATAGGCCGGGGGGGCGGCCAGCTCTGGGGGCACAATAGGAGGCAGCTCTAGAAAAGGTGTGGTGGAGGGCTGGGGCTCACCTGTGGCACCATCGGCAGAGACGGGGCCCAGGCGCTTCCTGCCTGCCAGCCCGTAGAGCAGGAACCTGTACTTCCTGCTGGGCTCCAGGCCGGGGACGGTGACCTCGCGCTGGTCTGCGGCCACGGGTACCACCCGGGGCTGCCCGTCCCTGTCCTTGTACTGGACCACGAAGGAGTCGAATTCACCCTCGGGGACCGTCCACGAGAGGGTCACGGAGTCCGGGGTCAGGTCCACCACGGTCAGCTCCCCGAGGCGGGGAGTTTTCGTGTCTGAGACTGCAGAAGAGAGAGAGGTGTGTGGAGAGTGACAGAGACTGACAGAGCTTCCTCAGGGTGTTGTGGCTCTGGGAGCTGGTCCTGGGAGCTGGGACGGGGCGGCTGGGCCACATGGCAGGAGGTGGGGCAGCAGAGGAGTAGGGACAAAACACAAGCCAGGGGAGAAAGCAGCGTCTATCAGGATGGAGGAAGGGCATGGAGAAGGACGAGAATGAGGGCTAAGTGGGGAGCTCTGGACCTGGATTTCACCGGCCCTAGTAAATAAACAGGTGCGCAGGCCCTGCGGTCGGGAGCGGGGAGCACAGAAACAGGAAATTCTGACTGTCACCACAAGGGGGCGAGGCACACCCAGGAGGCTCTAGCACCAAAGGTGGCCTCCCGCCTCCACTCACGCGTCTTGGCCTCTGCAGACACTGGGCCGTGGCGTTTCTCATCCTGGAGGCCGAAGAGTAGGAACTTGTACTTGCGGGCGGGGTCCAGGCCCGAAATGCTGATCTCACGGAGGTGCCCACCCACAGGCACCGCCTGGGGCTGGCCCTGCACATCCTTGTACTGGACCAGGAAGGAGTCGAAGAGGCCCTGGGCCACCGTCCACGACAGGCTCACTGTGTCAGAGGCCACGGCTGCCACAGCCAGCTCCCCCAGGCGGGGGGCCACAGGGCGCTCTGCGGGCTGGGAGGCTGGAACAGAGCACAGGAGGCTGAGGGGTCAAAGGCGGGACCCTTTGAAAGAGTGGGAGTGCTTTCCCCAGACTATGAAATAAATGTTTTGTAGCAAGCTCTTCTAAAGTGCTTAATGTGTCCCAGGCATGGCTGTAAGCAGCTCACACAGTAGCACACGTATCCTCACACAACATACGGAGTAGGTGCCGTTAGTATTATCCTCCCCATTTTGCGTGGATCTGCGGCACAGAGAAGTTAAGAAATGTTCGTGAATTTACACAGTCAGTACATTCAGAGCAGAAATCAAACCCAGAGAATCTGGTTCTGCAGCCACGTTCTGAGTCACTAAAATACCCTGTTGGGGAGCCTGAGGAGCCCATAGATGAATAAGCAAGTTTAAGAACACAGGTAAAATTTATGAAGCACAGCGTACATGCCAACTGACCGTGAACACAGCCTCCATCATCCTCACTCAACTAAAGGATGAGGCAGGCTCATTGGTGCCGTATGGGAAAGGAGACGGATCTAAAGGACCATCTGTGAGGAGTGCTGATCCAAGGGGAAAGCAAGAGAAAATGGAAGAAGACTGTGGGGACAGTGGCCCGCCCCCACTTACCGGTCACGCCCACGGTGGACATGGGGCCCACGCGCTGTCCCCTGTGCAGGCCGTACAGGTGCATCTTGTACTTGCGCCCCGGCTCCAGGCCCCCGATGGTGACCTCATTCTCGTCACCCCCGACACGCACCACCTGGGGCTGCCCGTCCCTGTCCTTGTACTGGACAGTGAAGGAGTCGAAGTGGCCCTGGGGGACGGTCCAGGAGAGGCTCAGCGAGTCTGGGGAGGATCCTGTGACCGTCAGCTC